TCATCCTTTTCTCTCCATCCCTACTTTTATTCCTCTTTTCTCTCCTTCTCTCCTTATTTTCATCCTTTTCTCTTCTTACCCTCCTTAACGATCTTCTTCACATTGATATTTCTTCTTTCTTTTTTCTGTTTATTTGATTATTATACGCTTTCTACTTCTTTTCTCTCTTCATCTTCTTTTCTTTGCCTTCTCCCTCAATCTTAGTGTCATCCTCCTCACACTTCCTTTTCTTCTTTCATTCGCTTTCTTATATTTCTCCACCCCCTTTCCCATTTACATCTTATTTTCTGTTTTTCTTCTTCCTCTTTTGTTTTTTATTCACTTCTTTCTCGGTCTCCCGACCATATCACAATGAAGCCCCGGTTCTAGCATGATAACCGAATTTAAGCAACTTTGAGCTTGGCCTGTACCTAGATGAGTGACCGCTTGAGAATACCAGATGCTGTGAGCTTGCGTATTCGGCTGGCATAGTGGTTAATGACTCGAAACTGAAACTCTGATAGCCGAGTTTCAATCCCAGTCGGGTTCAGTATATTCGATTTCGCTTTTTAGAGAAAGATACAAAGCCATCTTTTTATCATCCCCCTCCACGGCTATTGGTTTATTAGTAATTCTTTTTTCAGTAAATCATTATTATACCAAAAATATTCTTACAATCTAAAATATCATTATTATCTCAAAAAATTCTTACAATCTAAAAATATGTCATGGCTTTAAATAACCTACAAAATGTTGATAATCCGTAAAAACAAATCAATCAATCAATAAATTTTCTCTCCATGTTTTCCTCCTCCTCTTTCTTCTTATTTTCCCAATTTCTCTTTCTCTACTGCTGCATTTTTCTTTTTCATCTTTTCGTTCTCTCTCTTTTTTTTTCTTTCTTTGCTCCCCTCTGTCTTTATTCTTCTTCTTTCCTTTTCCTTTTTATTTTACGCTTTATTCACTGCACGTTGTTCTTATTTTACCTTCCCCTTTTTCTTCACCGCCACACCCCAGTTTCTTTTCTGCCATTTTCTTTTTCTTCTTCTATTCATCTTCAAATTACGAAGAACGCCGACAAGCAATATAGGAAACATGTTACTATAACAACACCAGTTTTTATCTGGCTCTTCTGATCTTTACATAAACAGTGAAACTCTGCCAGATTTAACAATGTCCCTGAGTTCAGTAGTTCATTGCAAACGGCTTGCGGTCTCCCAAATCAGTCGAACCGGGGCAAAAATAGACTTAATGACCTGAGAACAAAAATTAAAGTCTGGATGAACAGAACAAACTAAACGACGCCATGTTTGTAAAATATCCCACGAGATGCTAAAGAAAAAACCGCGAAAGTCAATGAAGGCAAAAAAGAAGATATTGGCGAAAACAGTTCTTGGCATGAGTTCCAAGCGGGATCTTGTAATGTCTGCATCTCTAATAACAAAAATGAGTCAATGAAAAAAATATGCCTTGAAGTTTATTTTATTTGCTTCTTGTGGGAACAACGTCTGTATTTTTAATTGTTAATTAGGATGAGTTGTTGGCTTTTACAGTTATTATTATTATTATTATTAATATTGTATCCCAATGAATTCTTTGGATGATGGGGAAATAAGAGATTTTAGAAAATATTAATAATCACGTAGATAGAAATGAACAAAGTGACATAAGTAGATAGATAGATAGATAGATAGATAGATAGATAGATAGATAACAAAAGACTGAGCTAGATAGATAGATAGATAGATAGATAGATAGATAGATAGATAGATAGATAGATAGATTCTATTTCAGTACAATGTCAAATAGAAATAAATGAAAGTTAAGAAGATTATGTTACGCCAAATATTCAAAGAGATAGGACCAATGTGCCTTGAAATCAATATTCGCAGCCATGAACTGCATCACCATCATCCTCAATTCCTGAGACCAGTGGGAGTCGTAAATATCACCTGATCACTTCCCTCTATATGTCTCGGTTGCATGTCAATCTATGAGTCTCTGTGAAGGGTCATTCAGTCAATTCACCGTCATTTTTTCCGACTGTTTTCCCTCTCTCTACCTCTTCGTCATTTGTCAAAAGTCCTACCTTGTGACATAATAGTGGGTCAATTGCTAACTCAGACGTGCCCAGATCTTTTCATATTTCTCTACTTGACATTGAATTGCTTCCTGATAATTGATATTTATCATATACAGGGTGCAATGGGTAAATGATCGCCATATTTTTAGTTTTGCGCACGCGCTTTGTTTGTTTTTGATTTTGTCGACTGCACTGTATAGTAGGGTCAGTTGGGCACCGTCTGTGAAAAAACAGCACCTGACGCAATTCATTCCGCCTGAAATTTGGAAACGGCATAATGTACTGCTTGACATTCGCGCCGGAAGCTCCAATACGAACAGATTGTTTGGGTGTCATTCTGGGGACAGTGTAGAGGATTTGGAAAGAGATGGATGAGTCTAATAGTGATTAAGAATGTACGACAGTCGCGCTGATCGTTCTAAGTTGGCGGTGAGGGCCCCAGACTTTTTATTTATTTTTTTTAATTTTGGGTTGACACCGATTTTGCAAAATTTCTGATTATCGCGAGATACTTTATTGTTGGGGTGGAATATTATTGTTAAAATATTTAAATGGATTAGATTCTTTTTCTTTTTTTTTTCCTAATCTTCGTTATTATTTGTGTTCATCAAATCTTTCATTTAACTTCTTGAGGTTTCTTCAATATATTCTTTCTGGCAATCGTTGTCCTTGGTCGAGTAAATTCCTCCTTCAAGTTTTGGCTTCTTTTGTTTTATATTGATTAAGTTTGTTATTGTTTTTAGATGTATTTGTGATAAATTTTATTTTGAATTTAAATAAATTCTTTACAATTGTAGTTGTGATAGAGTTAGTGGGTAGAACAATATATTTTTTAATTCTTTGGGTTTGTCAGGAAGGACAGTTTTTCTATTTTGGAATATTTTATGAACCTTTTATTTCGCATTGAATATAAAATAGGGTTAGTTAGTTTTTGAAAGGTCTTGAAAATATTTTCAATATATTTCTCCCCTTTGGGTATGTTCTGGGATTATTTTGCAGTGAAGGCTTGTATTTGTACTAAATCGGTCCTAAAATAGGTTCGATGTACAAAACGTTAGGGACTTGATATAATAGGTATTACGCAGAGTAATCTTGTTGTGGTCGCTGACTACTTTCGTATTCGACTAACTGTCGACTACTGTCGTCCGACATCGACTAGAATTTAGTTACCCCCCACGAGGGTATCATGTGGCACAAGGCCGGTTTAACGTGGGATCTCCGAGCCCGTGGGCTCGGCCAAAAATATAATCTTTGAACCCGTATAAACGGGTTCAGGGTCGGTTTACCTCCCCGAACGAGACTCTGCCCTTCGGCGGAGCCTCGTTCGGGTTCCTCCCCGCCCGAAGGCAGAGAGTTCAACCGTTCATCCGGTCGTCCGACATCGATTGACCCTCGTTTCTATTACTACTCCTACTTATATTATGTGGGAGAGTCTATTAACTATAGAATAGGTGTGTTTCACCATAACAGTGTATATACTGAGAATTGCAAATTCTGAGTGCTCTTAAATAGAGTCCGATGATTATTCCGGAATTTTATTTTGTTGCTATGATGAGAATAGAAATTTATGAGATCATTTTTATTAATTGATTTTTGATGGACACTAAGTTTTAAGCTGCTGTCAACTCGGCGTAACATGATGTCTAAGAAATTTAAAGTATTGTGTTCTTCTATTTCGTATGTAATTCTATTGTAATTTCGACTTTGTTTAGAACATCAAAAAGATTAGGTAAAACAGCATCACGAAGATATATTAGTAGAGCATCATTAATATATTAGAAGTATGTTGACTGTTTAGGCAAAATATTTTGGAAAAGATCAAATTCGAGAAATTCTGAAAAAAAATGCATGCCATCACTCTACGAAGAGGCGATCCCTATGGTAATCTAAATTTTTGTTTATAAAAATTATTATTAAATGTGAAATAACATTAGTTGGTGATGAGGCGACAGTTTTTTTTATTATTGATAAGGAGAGGTTTATCGTTGATTGTGTTAGATTTAAATGCAATATCAAAATCGCATATCAACTGTCCTCCTGACTAGTCTTTTCTCTTCACGCTCGTTATTAATGTTTCTGTTCCTAATTCTTTCATATCCAGTCACACCTTGTGTCTCAGTGGCTCTAGTATCTTGCATGGGTTGAAACCAAAAATCTACATTACATCTGCTGACAAGGGTGTGGGGATTGTCATAATGAATAAGAACTCATACGATAATGAAATCATCAATTAATTATTAAATGAGACTGACACATAATCAAAAATAAATGAACAGAAAATAATGACTGAAACACAAAAATTAACAACGCTATTAGGAAACTAATTAAAAATGAAAGCAATTTATGGTAATAGACTAATAGAATATCACCCTAGACTACTCAAAGTTTACGATCTCCTAAAATCCACAAAACAGGCATCACAATGCGCCTCATTATTTTAGGAACAGACAGCAAACCCACCCACCAAACTAGCAAAAGCTATAAGGAAAATGTTAACCCCTCTCCTTGGAACAATCACCCCATCAGATATTAAAAAAATCAGGCAATCTACTTGAAAAACTAATCAAAACAAATATGAATGACAAACTCATAACCAGTCAAGATATAAAATCACTTTTCACTGATGTCCCAGAAAAAAATGAGGAAATCTATTACAAAAAGGATCTAAAACAATCAAAAATGAACCTGTCCGTACCAATAGCAAAAATAATAGAAATCTGTAGTTTCATCATTAGAAATAAACTGATATTGTCCATTATCTTATGCTAGTTCTCTTTTTTCGATTATTGTCTGTATCTTCTCATTGTTCCCCTTATCCCTCCCAATACAACTAATAAAGTCCATTGTCTCATGCTTCTTCTCTTTTCTCCACCATAATCTGTATCTTCTCATTGTCCTCCTTATCCCTCCCAATACAACTAATAAATTCTATTGTCTCATGCCTCTTTTCTTTTCTCCACCATTGTCTCTATCTTCTCATTGGCCATATCAGGTTGAAACACCGGTTCCCGTATGATCCCCGAAGTTAAGCAACGTCGTGCTTGGTCACTACCAAGATGAGTGACTGCTTGGGAATACCAGGTGCTGTAAACTTTTATGTGCGCTTGGTGTAATGGATAATGGCACAGAATTGTTAATCGAAGATCCGGGTTTCAATTCGCGTTGTGTACTTTATATCCACTTTTGCGTAAATATCTTTGGGAAATGCATGAATCCACCTCTTATCATATCTCCAGCTTCAGCTGAAGTAGTATGGCATGTATCATTAAAATCATAATTATCTCAAAAAAAGTTCTTACTATTTAAAATTATTTTCTGGCTTTAAATTAACTGCAAAATGTTGATAAGCCATTAAAAAACGAATCAGTCAATCAACGATCAATCAATATTTCCGACGTACAAGTCGACTCAGCTACAGGTAACCAAGATGTAACGATATAACTATTTAGCAACAAAAGAAAAAATATACAACAGGTGAAAGGTCATGAAACATTAATTACAGAAATAAAACAAATAAAACGCGTAAACACCGACGAAGCTTTCGAGAAAATGGAAGCCAAAAGGACCCTTAGACATAATATCAGGAAGAGACAGTTGAAATTTCTGAAATACATAAAGAGGAAAGAAGGTTTGGAAAATTTGATACTCACAAGACAGATTAAAGGACCAGAGAAAAGCAACGCCGAACATACCTTGCAAACTTAAGCGGATGGATGGCGGAACAGAGTTTGGGAGAGATGAGAAAAAGATAAAGGTTATAAGGAAATTGTGGAGACGAAAAAGTGGAGAGCCATGATCTTCAACATCCTGAAGAGACACGTTACAGTTAAGAAGAAGAAATTTTGGTAGGAAATATAATTGCGTAACTCACCTATCAAGGAAATTTGGTATATGAGGCTTTTTTTTTTTTGTTTGTTTTTTAATTAAAGAAATAGAACAAGTAAATAGGAGGTAGCGGGGTGTTGCATATTCCTTGCCGTTATTTGAAGTTCGAGTCGGAAAAAAACGCCGGAATTTGAATACAGGTTTTCTAGTCAACCGGACACTCGTAAAAACTCTCATTGCTAAATTCTTTTACTCTAATAAACTTGAATAATTACTTAAATGAAAATACAAAATATTACAGATAAAAGGAAATGGACGCTTTTCCATTGTAATGCCGTCATAAATAATTTTTCTGCAAGGTTCTTGTTCATGAAAATGAATATTCAAAAATGCGCAAGTATAAAATTAGATAGAAGTGTTTAGCGAGTGTTTAAAGACAGAATTTTTTAGCGACCCTTTACCAAATTAATTGAAACAACCGCTTTAGTTTCCTTTCTTTCGCCATACGATCAGTTTTTGACCCACTTGAGTGATAGGCTGTAATCGATTTCATTTTTTTTCCTCAGATTAGGTCATTTGCAGTGGTCTGCAGTAGTGTGAATCTATTTTCGGGGTGTATGATGAAATTTGTCTGGCCTTGAAAAATATTGCGTCATCCGTGATTGCATCAGATTTTCATCACGCCCAGACACTATTGTCTCGACTGTCGATTAGTTGTCCTACGGCCATTGTCTGCGATGGACGTTACTCCAATGAAGCGTACGAAAATTGTAACGCTGCACGAACACACTGGCAAGCCTTACCAGTGAGCAAATCAAAGTACTATTGATTGGCCCGGAAACTCTCCTGATTTAAATCCAATCAAGAATCTGTGGTCAATCTGCAAGGAACGACTTCGTGGAATGGACATACGAAGCACTAACTTGTGCATTGTGTCATGTTTCATTGGGAAAATTGGAAAAAAGGAAATAATAACGGAATTATTCGTTTTGTATCAATTAATTTGCACAAGGGTGTATGTTTAGCGAAGATTCATAAAACATTTCATCGAGTATTCGTAAGACATAAATGTTTAGCCAGTATCCATAAAACATAAGTGTTTATCGACTATTTATAAGGCATAAGTGTTTAGCGAAGACATGTAAAACATGTGTTTAGTAAATGTGAATAAACAAATATTTAGCGAGTGTTTATAAGACATAAGTATTTCCTAAAATGCTACAAATATATTTTTATCCTATTTTTTTCTTCCTTCAGCCTCAAAAACTGTGTCCGACTTATACTCAAGGTATATATTTAACTATTTAGTAGAGCCCGGCATTCTAGGTTGGGGATGTAACAGTAAGAGATAGATCAAGTATCGACCATCATAAAAACTGAAAAATAAAATTGACAAAGATTATTGTTTAAGGTTGACGGACACGCATGTCTTAATTAATTTTTTTTTTTTTTTTTTTTACGAATTGGTCAAACCCAAACTCAAACAAAAATTTTTTTTCAATCGTTATGAGTCTACCGATTGAATAGAATTTTATTATAAACAATTGTCTTGTAAATGGAATTTTTAAAATATTGTGAATGTAAAAATAAAAAAAAAGTGTGCTAGACAATAAGAAACACTACCTGCCAAAAAAAAAGTGAAGTTTTGTTGAAATCGGTTGAAAAATGTAGGAAATCCGATCCCATATATAAACGAACACACACACACACACACACACACACACACACACAAACAACCTGGGTTTTATAATAAGTATAACTCGATATGAGTTGTCCCCCTTTCATTCATTGATGCCTCTTATTAATCGTGTTTTCAAATTGATTTCATGCAAAAACAATTGTGTTTTTCCAATTTTTGACGCTGTTAGAACCACCGCAAGGTAATTTTATGTAGTCCTGTGAAGTTTTGTTGAAATCGGTTGAAAAATGTAGGAAATCCGATCCAATATATAAACGTACAGACACACACACACACACACACACACACACAATCTGCGTTTTATAATAAGTAAGATTAATCCTTTGTTAGATAAAATCAAGGGTTGAATTATGCACGCAGTTGACTGATGTATGGATAAATACAATAACAACTATTAATCATTTGGTTATTTTATTATTATGAAAAAAAAAAAAAGCCCGAACTGTGAAAAGGAAAATTGTCATTTATTTTAAATTTAATTTAAAAAGGCCCTGATATAAATAAAATGAACAGTTCAAAAAATACTGATTTAATTAATGAACTGTTGAATATTTTAACGCAACTAGAAAATATTCAATTGCTTCAGCCACCAAGCAGTCTTCTACCATTTTTGTTTTATTTCTCAATCATAAAGAAGTAATAGAGAATTGCCTTGGCTCCAAACGCTAATATTTATTTGGTTATTCATTCTCGTTTGTTGTTTTGTTGATGACATCAGAAAGTGATAAGAATTTTTCGTTTTGATATGGAAGAAAGGAAGGGCCATTAGCGGTAAAAATACAGAGTGAACATGAGGCAAATGTTCATGCATCTCTACCGAATTGTAATGTGAGAGAAACGCAAAAGTACCAAAAAAAAAAAAAAAAAGGGCCTCAATTTTCATCGCCGTCTACACCTTTGGGAATTCCTTGTCCGCATTCGACCGTGACGCTCACACACGCAAATAGTCACAAAGGGTAGACACTCTCATTTACAAATCTCAAATCTCGGAATATATGGTTAGGGTTATATTTAAACAGAATTGTTCACGGCATTTGGGAGTTAAAATTTGATATTTTTCTTTTTTTTTTTTTTTTTTTGCTTAAATCCCTTATAGTGATGGAACATTATCAGGATAAAAACTATTAAGGAAAAGTAGTTTCAGTCCGAGGTTATGTTCAGCAAGCTAATTTAGTTGACCATTCATAGTGAATAATGAATTAGATCATCATTGGTTGTTCCATAGTCGTGGCCTTGAGCCAATACTAAGGTATATAGGGAGCTCCAAAGAAAATTTAGCGTCTTTTTGTGGTGAAAAACACATTAATTTGGAAATTATTGCAAAAATCAAATAGTAGTCGGTTTTTAATAAAATTCCCAGGACTTATTCACAAATGACTGAAATTATTCTCGAAATGTTTCATTTTAGAAAATCTTCGTAAAAATAAATTTTGCATCTTTTACACCCCCTCTCCACTGATTTAATTTTACGAAATTTGGAGAAATTTATTTTTTTACAATTTAATGTTTATATTAGATTTAGGTAGAACTCCTTGGAGAATTTAAGTTACCGAAAATCTGCTCTGAATCGTAAAATAAAAAACGCAACAAAACTGACATTATTTAATTAGAAAAGCTTTTAATTGATTTTATGAATAAGATATATTATTGATTCTATTGTCTTAAGGGAAAATCATTTTCAATGAATAATGAATTTTCACAAGAATTGTTTCATTTTTTTAATTAGAATAAATGATAAAGTTTTAAATCTTTTAAAAATCTGGATTAATTTGTACCGATTAGGTGATATTATTAGGTAAAAACTATATTTCTTAATCATAAATGAAAAAGCTTGCTACAATTCAGCGACTCCCAGTATTTTAAATTTTTGTGTGAGTATAAAGGTGCTGGTTTGTCAATACAGGATATTTTGTAAATCTTAAATTTGTGAGATTACTGGGTAGATGAAAATTATATAAAAAAAGCGCTCACATTATATTCGTCAAGTAATTTTTACAGATATAGTTCCCGAAGAAAAAATAACCAAACATAAGTCTACCGAGATAGTTGTCAACACCTCATAAAATCACCCAACTTCGTGTTAAACATTGCTTTTCAGAGATATTTTAAACTAAAAGTAATATTTGTTTGAAATCGGATTAAATTTGAAATCACCTCTTATCCTAATCTTCCTCAAAACCTCAGACACGAATATTTTATTTTGGAAGATTCTTTAATGAAGAGAATTGCGTTGTGCTGAGAGAATTGTAGATATGGTAACGGTTAGCTATTTTTAGCGATAAATAGCTCATTCCAATCAATTTAAATTCGTTTTGAAATGCAGGAAAGTATTTAGCTTATTAGAAATATTAAATTTAATCTATTAACTTGAAATTAAAATTAGACTAAAAGCTTTAAGAAAATTTTTTTTATTTTTTAAATTTCATTTTAAATCTAATGCTACACATTACCGAGATGAAAACACTATCGTTACTTTACTACGGTCATTAGCATCACATAGGTGATATCACAATTCTTTAAAGGTATTTATAAATAAAAGCACATTTAGATATTCGATACATGACATATAATTTAAATATTTGCTTATACTTAATGTTTTCTTCAAAAGATGTCTTTTCTCCGATAGTACTCAAAAGAAGAATCAAAGAGAAGAATCAATAGGAAAAATGTCTCGATTTTTAGTTACTTTGGTTCATTTTAGATCAGATGTCTCTACAATGAAGTAACAAATTTTAGTTTTGGAAAAATAAAATTGCATTTGAAAGATATGTTCTTTCATAAAGCGATGAATATGATGTTTTTATAAAATATTCAAATATTTCAAAGAGGTCGAGTAAAAATATATATGATTTTTTATTGGGTATTTCAAAGAGGTCGAGTTGACGAAATTTTGTAAATATGGGTATAAAATCCTAATCCTGGAGATGACGGCTCAGTAATACTTCTTTGTTGGTAATAATGATTAAGCTAAAATTGTTGTGTTCGTCGACCAGCTTGTGGACAGCCACATGACAGACATTGCCAAGATCTAAACATTGGAATAGCCACAGTTGCAGACTGCCAGTAAATTTAGCTCCAGGAATATCAATATGAACCATTGGGAACCGTTTACTTACAGCAGAATCAAAGACAGGTATGCTTCGACAAACTTTTACTAAGGTTTCAGCCGTCGTGCAGGGCTGCAGTTTTGACATGTGAGGCTCACTGTGGGCATCTAATGGCGTTCAGTCGTGTTTTATGGTCAGAATATGATCGATTTTCAGTAAGTAATGGTCGTTTGGACACGAGACAGCGATTTGGGAGCGATATCTTCCAGTGTGTATTTTCCGATGAGAGACATCAGAATGCGATCTTACATATCTCGCTTGCCCTTTATATTTGTTCAGAGTACTTTAAATTATGTCCTGTACGTTAAGAACATTTTTTAACCTATTCTGCTAACACTCCTACAAATCTGTCTGTGTAAAACAATACCCACCCACAGTATTCTTGTACCATTCAGCATAGTATGCGAATGTTCGACAACTTCTCTAATCAGCTTCGATCTCCAGACCATTGAACATGTATAGGGCATAATGGGATGGTACCTAACTCGTTCAGTTAGATGAACTATATATCGTCAGTGGGTGCAAATCACATGATATAATGGATGGCGTTTATCGTCTTTACGATGGTATGCGTGTATGCATACAGGTCTGTGTTCACACCGCAAGAAGATATACAGTGTATATATAAAGGGCCTGAGAACTGTAATTGTACCTGTTATTTTTTTTAATCTCTGTACGCATTGGTTTGGATATGTGAGTATTTAAGGCTTACGGTTATATGACGTTGAAACGTCAAGTGTGGTCAATAGCTAGATGGATGATCGCTTCGAAATACCAAAGAAGTACTCTATGCTTGGATGTGCGGGTGGTGTAATGGAAAACAGCTCGGAATTGGAAATCGGAGTATCCAGTTCCAATTCCAGTCGTTATATTCACTGACGCGGAAATATCCTTGGGAAAGGTATGAATCCATATGTTCTCCCCCAGCTATAGGTTAATTAGTATTAGTAAATCATAATTATCTACAAAAAATTCTTACAATCTAAAAATACTTTCTGGCTTTAAATAAACTGGTTTATAAACCATAAAAAACAATTAATCAATCAACTAATGTGTGATCAATCAATCAATATTTGATCAATAAATCAATCAATGGGTGATCATTTACTGTACTGTTTATGTGGAAAATATTATATAATATTATATTTATAATTTTATTTTCAAACATTATATAATCAAAGAAGGAGATATCAAATTTATAAAGAGTTTCCTCTTGATCCTTATTTAAACATATATATCTATCTCCGTTTGGTCCCTGTCAATCTATTTATCTCAGTCTATATAAGTATGCTCATATATATAGCTGGCCACTCGTATTCGAGAATATAGGTCTATTAGGGCGGCTATCCAACCCCTATTGCAGACGCTTGCTCAGAGATCACCTGTGGTTTATACTGCAACTATACTGAGCAGACCTTACTTTCAGTTTCTAGGAGAGAGCGTGTTATCTAACGTGATCAACAATTTGAACAAAGCTAGCACGCTCAAGCCCTCGGCCACGATGACTTGTGGCTTCGTGCTAGCTCAGCTATCGACGGACCCCAATACATACATACATACATACATATACATACATATATATATATATATATATGTGTGTGTGTGTGTGTGTGTGTGTGTGTGTGTGTGTGTGTGTGTGTGTGTGTGTGCGTGTGTGTGCGTGTATTATAAATATGTCATTATACTCGTCTGGAAAAACCTTATGTGTTTTGGCTTGTAAATGAACAAACCAATACCCAAGGAAAAATAAGGGCTAAAAAAAGAATGAACTAAGACCATGAAATTGAGGCGAAAACAACCGTCCAGAATCCAAGCTCAGAGTCCAAAGAAAAAAACCTCAAAAATGAGTAAACCAAAAGTAAAGTGCTCAATACACTAAGTAGAGCAAACCTAAATATGAACCTAGAGTTAGGCAAATTTACTGAGTTTCATTTACGCGGATCGTCAGCGTACAAGTCCAGTGTACCCTGACGATCTGCGTAGGTGAAACCTAGGTAGGTTTGTTTGGCTTTTAGGTTCATAGCTATATATATTATATATATATATATATATATATATATATATATATATATATATATATCCGTTTAGTCCTTATCTATCAACCTATTTAACTCAGTTTATCTAAGTATGCTCATATCGATCTATCTTCCTATCTCAGTCTGTTAGTATCTAGCTAGCTAGCTTTGTGTGTTAGTATCTATTTATCTATCTATCTATCTACTATCTATCTTAGCCTCTTAGTATCAATCTATCTGTGTCCGTTTTGTTCCTTATCTGTCCAAGTCTTTTAGTATCTATATACCTATCTATCTCTCTATCTCTGATTGGTCCCTATCTAAATCTGTTAGTATCTATATATCTATCCCCGTTTTGGGCCATATCTATCTATCTATCTATCCATCTATCTTAGTCTATCTAAGTACGCTAATATATATCTATTACTTACTCTGTTACGACTGTTTTCCTCATCTTTCTTGCCATATTCACGACATTTCTACCGTTGTACGCTCCGGCTTTCTTCAGATGATTGGAATTTCGAACTGAACCCTTTATTTCCTCCACCGAGGTAGACTGTTCTAATTCCACGTTCCATGCCTCTTCTGGGTGTCTCAGTTATCTCCCTTTAACTCGATTCTCCAAGTTTTTGTTCACTACTGCACAAGTCAGTTATTGAACTCACAACTCTTTAAGTTAATTCGCTGCATCCAACCAACGATTTTATTATTTTTTTACCAGGGCTTATATTGTAATTATTGTTGTTATTCATTGCTTTTCTCTAGCACTCCTTATTACTGGTTCACATATTGTATTCATTTCTTTGTTTGATCGGCTCAGGAGATTTTGGTGGTCTAGCATATGTACTGATTCCTTAAGTTTTCGTATTTTCCAGTGATGCACTCTGTCATGTCAACCTCATGCCACGGGTGATTTCCCTTTTCTTTTCATATGTGGTCAACTGCACCTAATTCTTCTATTTCCACAGCTTTATGATGTTCTTGCAGTCTTACCTTACGAGGACGGCCTGCTTCTCCTTCGTATTTCTTACCACAGCTCTGCCCGAGATGGCGTACAAATAGTCCTTAGCCATGTTCTCCTCTATGGAGGATATTACTCGGAGGAAATGTCTGCGAAGTGTTGAGCCATTTTGAAGGTCGTCCTGGTATTATATGGGCCACTATTTATATATCTCAGTCTGTTAGTATCTATCTATCTACCTATCTCCATTTGTCCCTATCTATCTATACTATTAGACTATCTATCTGTCTATTAGTATCTATCTATCTATCTATCTATCTATCTATCTATCTCAGTCTATTAGTATCAACCATCTATCTATCTATCTATCTATCTATCTATCTATCTATCTCATTATTCCTATCTATCTATCTATCTATCTATCTATCTATCTCAGCATCTATCCATATATCCATCTATCTCAATCTGTTCATTATCTATCTCCGTTTTGTCCCTATCTTCCTATCTATCTATCTATCTATCTATCTATCTATGTGTTCCGTAATATTTTCGTTTTCTCCGAGGTGCTTAAAAAGATTGAGATGCACTGGATTTAATATTGATAAACTAACCTCTGTCCTTTGAACACTTTTGTTTATTTTCGGAAATTCAACGGCCCCTCTTTAATATTTCAAGATACTTAGCGATTTCCTGCTGACTCATTTCCTTTACAATTTCCCAGACTTAATTCTCCAAACTTACTCTTCTTCGTATAAAATTTAAATTTGTCTAAGATACAATTTATAATTTTGTCTAAAATCATTTAAAGTCAAGTTGAAGACTCGAAAAATTTATGCAGCCTGTTTTGTCTATTTAACATGAAAATTAGCATTCGTATCTATAATTAAGTAATATATGAAGACATTTACAAGGGGTGGACTGCTAAGTCTTGCATGCTCTATTTTCAGCCTCAAATGTATTTAGATCTTTATCTTCACTCTTACTGTCTCCGTTTGAATACATCAACTTACGTTACAGTCTTATATGACTCTTGATGTGTGTGTGTATGCATGCGCAAGCGTATGTTCCTCTGTGTCGGCACACACGCATGGTTATGCAGGGGTGGGGGAAGCTACACGGGATGGCGTATACACAATACTTAGTCATGTTCTATGCAGGATCTTAATCGGAAGAAGTGTCTGCGAAGTGTCGAACCATTTTGAAGGTCGTCCTGATATTATATGGACCACTATTTATATATCTATATATCTCAGTCTGTTAGTATCTATCTATCTCAATCTATGAGTATCTATCTATATATCTACCTCAGTCTATTAGTATCTATCTATCTATCTATCTATCTATCTGTTTGTCTATTAGTATCTATGTATCTCAGTATATTAGTATTTATCTATCAATATGCCTGTCTATTAGTATCTATCTATCTATCTATCTATCTATCTATCTATCTATCTCAGTCTATTAGTATCTATCTATCTGTCTATTAGTATTTATCTATCTATCAATCTGTCTATTAGTATCTATCTATCTATTTATCTCAATTAGTATCTATCTATCTCACTCTATTTGTATCTATCTATCTCAGTCTATTAGTATTTATCTATCTATCAATCTGTCTGTCTTTTAGTATCTATCTATCTATCTCAGTCTATTAGTATCTATCTACTTATCTCAGTCTACTAGTATCTATCTATCTATCTATCTATCTATCTATCTATCTCAGTCTATTCGTATCTATCTATCTATCTATCTATCTATCTATCTCAGTCTATTCGTATCTATCTATCTATCTATCTATCTATCTATCTATCTATCTATCTATCTCAGTATATTAGTATCTCTCCATCTATCTAGCTAGCTAGCTATATATCTATCTATTTATCACTGTTTGGTTCCTACCTATTTATCAGTATGAAAAACAAATTCAACGAACTGAATTCGAATTCCTGCTAATTAGAAAAAATGTGAATCCAACCCTCTCACACCCACTTCTATAAAACGATACTTAATTTAGAAAATTACTTTACCTGTCCCAAAAGCTGTTACTCCTATAGTCAACCTTACGGAATAGTACAATCAGTATATATATATATATATATATATATATATATATATATATATATATATATATGAGTATGTGTGTGCACGTGTGTATGTGTGTGTGTGTGCATTTATGCACGTATTCCGTCTTACGAACTGCGTATAAGTAAAGCGATAAACAAACACACTTCCAGACGATATATAGGTCCCTTGCTAATAGTCTAAATATACCTGGTGTCGAGAGATTTAAACACCTTCGAGGATCTAACGACTCAAAGGCTCAAATTGTTTTGTCTCTTGTTAAATCAACGCCATACTTTACTTTTTTATAGTTTCTTCAGCTGCATTCGCAATGACAACAGCTTAAAATATCCGCCAAAAGTGTGGAATCAACCATTTTTGCAAGACGTAAGTCAGCATTAAAGAAAACTTTTCAGAAAGTCCTTTTTATCAATTTAAGCTTTCAGCAACTGCGATGTATGGAAATCAAATCAGGAAGCAGAAATCGACGAACACCGCTAAAGATCCCTTTCTCAATTATATCCTTGGGAAAGGGATGAACTTTATCAAGAAAATTAGATTCACTCATATATATATATATATATATATATATATATATATATATATATATATATATATATATATAGCTAGAGAGATAGATAGATAGATAGCTAGATAGATAGATAGATAGATAGATGAAAAAGAGACCGAGAGAGAGATAGATAGATAGATAGATAGATAGATAGATAGATAGATAGATAGATTATACTATATCTGGATTTCGAAGAATCACCCAAAGAATGAAAGTTGCTCGCCTTTTTCAAAACATTTTTACGTGTTCTCTTCTAGTCAAAGGGGTTTTCTCTTCCTGACAATTTTTATCATATATTTAATAATAATAGTAAGAAGAAGAAGAAGAAGAAGAAGAAGGCGGCGGCGGCGGCTATTACTGCAAAAAGTTTCATTAAAAATTTACATCTTTTCCTAATCTACTTTGCTGGCTAATTGTAATTTTAGAGGCGGCGGATTTAAATCTTTAAGTACCCGCAAACTATCCCCAAGTACCCCCCAAACTCTCTAGAAAAAAATTAAACCCCATGTAATAATGGGTTAAATAGTTTCAGCATTCTCGCTTAGTAGGAGTTCATTAAAACAAAAAGGGTATGAAATTTACAAATTATTAAATCCATAGAGTGGCTCCACACTTTTTATGTATATATATGTATATATATATATATATATATATATATATATATATATATATATGTGTGTGTGTGTGTGTGTGTGTGTGTGTGTGTGTGTGTGTGTGTGTGTGTGTGTACAGGGTTTTCCAAAAAATTGACATCATTTAAAATGTGAATATCTGAGTAACATGTCCGTGGCAAAACGAAATTAGGCTTCATGTTGAACAATAAAAGATTTATTTATCGCAGATATTAAAAGGATTTTATAACCGATTTAACAAAGCTTCACGTATGTTCAATATGCGCACCATCTGTGACACGACAGACGTCAAGACGGTAGTCCAGCTCCTGCGAAACACGTTGTAGCATGTCTTGCGTAACATTCTCCAAATATTCACATTTTTTGGGGTGGGGAGATATATATAATATATATATATATATATATATATATATATGTGGGATTTTTTTACATTCGTAAAAACAATACGTTAGATTTACCTAGAACATTCTCTCGAATGAAGATAGCTCAGTGGTAGAAACTCTGAGTGACCCCAAATAGGTTGGGTTTCAATTCGGGCTTGAGGCATTTTGATGTCTAGTCGCACTGAGGAGCTGTGATACTGTCTGCAAATGACATATATATATATATATATATATATATATATATATATACTGTCAAAATGAGCAAGGGAATTCAGAGCAGCATGAATCTATCCAGCTCTTATCTCAAATAACAACTTAAAAGAGACTGTTTGACCAACACAAAGACTGACCAAAATTCGCGTTAAAAAAAAAAAAACAAATGAAAACTACAGACAAAAGTTCATTTTCTCCATCAAGACATTCATTTCTGTAGTTCACTGCTACCAGCAAGCAGAAAATTATTTTCCTCCTGATGATGGCCATGTTGGCCGAAGCTAGTCGAGGCATCTAAATGAAATAATAATAAAAACGAAGGAATATTAATATACAACCCAGTATGCCTGAAGATTTTGATTTTTTAATATTTTTTATTGTTCAATATATATATATATATATTCATACAAGTGGACTCGACCAGTGTGTACTTGGACTGCTGCCGTTAAATACCCTGAGTCAGTCAGAGTAAAGAGATTGAGTTGGGGGTAGAGTAATAGTGTGAGGTAACCGCTTGTAGAAGTCACAGTTACAAGCACATAGACTCTAAGGAAGTCCTACTTCGAGACAGGATTTACCATACTGTATATATATATATATATATATATATATATATATATATATATATATTATTGCTACTAACTACGTTTCTGGATCTACTAACCGTATTACCAATTGTATTATTGTGTAAATACATTTATTTGCTATATTTCATTCCTGCGTTTGTCATTCATTGGAGACCAGATTTCATCCCGAAATCCACAACAATATATATATATATATGCTAGTTTAAAAGGCGGGCGGCATTTAAGCTAGCTCCTGTGGAGGGATCGTCATTGGGACTTCATCACAATAAGTAGGAAGATCAAGATGCAATAGACAAGAAACTACAGAACTCAAAATTGATCGATGTATTTAAGTATTTCATTAATATTTAAGCTTACCTTTCAAAAGTTCAGCGACAATTCTTCTGCCGCTAGTTAATTTAGAAACAATTTGATGTACGTAGGTCCTTACTTTCTGTACAAACAATTACTTTCATTTCATAGGTGACTTTCGCTGGATTTCGCAATAAATTTTGATTATTCCCAAATTATAAAAATTATCGTACAAAAAATTCGTCGCCAAAAATCACATAAAAAATCGTCGAAAACAATCGCAATAATGAAAACTTGGGAATCCAAAATTTCAAGATTGCTGGTCAGGAATGTTTTTAATTTGCTCACGGCAAAATAGTATATGTTAGGCTACGGTCAATGGGAGTAGCGATTTTCCAAGGGTAGCTTAGATGTGGTACAAGGTCGAAAGTAGGAGCACCCAGTGAGGATCGAATTCAATGCTCAGTCGTAATTGTTCTAGCGAGACAAGCTTACTAACCATTACATCGCCTCGAGGCGCCCAACGGTCACTGGGAATAAAGTTGAGAAAGTGTGACACACTGACGCACTGACATTCGCATTTATTATATAGATATATACATATGTATGCATATATTCGTTGTTCGCATACAGATTCCAAAATGTATGAACACCATTTATAAACTTTGTATTAGAATGCTGGGGGAGGCGGGGTTCGAGATTCAATAATTCTATTCGTTTTAATCTGTTGTCTGCCAAGTTCTATATATTTTGACTTTGTTTTCTTTCTCGCTTTTTGCTTTTACTTTTTGGCAAAAAATTCATGAAAACAGAAAATCTTCAGTGCGTATTTAAATCGGGTTTTGTCCCTGAGAGTTATTGTCGGAACTTTTTCGTGAGGATTATTATATGTAATACTGGATGTGCAGGCGGTATGATGTTTAGCGGTTCAGAACGGTAAATTGGTGAACCGAGTTCGAATTTCGTAAAAATACCCTTGAAAAAGGTATGAATCCCGGACACGGCGGAGTCCGTTAAAACATACTTGGCTGGCAATTGTGAGTTCAATACGTCGATCTTGGCAAGCGTCAGCGCTATGACAGTATGTAAAACCTGGTTTTTATTTGCCCACTGTTAGAAATACCACTGACACTGCACTCCCAATGTGCACAGCAATTGTCTGAAATGACCATCGGACCTCTTGAAAGTTTACAATCTGAGCCGCTCACAAATGAACAAAAGTAGCTTATATTGGTGAACGTGACACGACACTTTCATCACACTGAACCATAACACAGCATGCAACACTATCTCAAGCTCAGATACAGACGGTGCACTCATATGTGTGTTACTATGTCACGAGGTCAGAATATTTAGATGAGCATGCACATCTTGAACCCAGATCAAATCGGCACATTCAGGATATTAGAATTTGATTTTCGCTTGAACCCTAGCCCCAAGAACTAGTGAGAAATACGTAACACTCTTCCCTACCAAGGAGAATTAGTTTGTTTGGGGTTTTTTTTTTGGGGGGGGGGTTCGAAAAACTTTTGTTATATTTTTCTTTTCCCAGTTTGATTTTTATTTCTTGTTTTCTTTTTTTTTTTTTTTTTCCAAAATTGCATATCTTGAAATTCTGTTCGCCTGTGGTTCAGGCCTATATCAGTTGTAAGCTGACGTCTGCTGAATTGGCATGAACACTGGCTAGGTTTATTACGACAAGGCGACGTGAATTATTGGATTTAGTGAATAGCAGTAGGAGGGATATATTCCATTTTTGAAACTGTGGGACATTTGACATCCCTCGATCTACGATGACACATGACAGGCATTACCGCCCACCGTGGGGTAAATGCAGTGACCCAGTCATGTTCGTGACCAGAGACAACTGGCTAGAATTGGCTGTAGTAAGAGGCCCCACTACACTTATTCAATGCAGAATGGACGAAATTCAAATCCAGCAGATAAGCCAAACTTGTTTGATTGATTTGGTCTAGGCATATCAACACCTCTATGGGTTATCTGATGCCGAAATCTAAATATTTTGATCACAATTTTATGATTTCAACTAAATATATTAGGATCTTCAGTAAATTCTCGCTGATTTTTCAGGAAAAGTAATGTTTTATTTACAAAAATTA